GAGCCCCTCAGTCCAGCCACAGTCAGATTCTGTGGTCCAGACTAAGGTGGACTCCCTGATCCAGCCACCATTGGATACTGTGGTTCAACTTGAGGTGAACCCTTTGACCCAGCCACAGTTGGATCCCATGGCTCAACCTCAAGTGAACCCCTCAGCCCAACCACAGTCAAATTATGTGGTCCAGCCTCAAGTGGACTCCCTGACCCAGTCACAATTGGATCCTGTGGCCCAGCCACAGTCAAGCATGGAGGCCCAGACCCCTGCATGTGAGACTGAGTCAGCCTCTAACCCTGGTGAGGAAAACTCCCCTAGCTCATTCCCAGATCCCACTCCTGGGGCCCCTGAGAACCTAGACAGACCAGCTGTTCCCCAGGAAGAAACCCCTAGTAATGTCCCTCCAACAGAAGCCCCCAGTGCAGGACCTACTTGAGTGGCAGGAAGCCCAGGCCTGCCAGGGCAGTAGAAGAATCAGAGGGAGCCAATGAAGCAGCTGGGCAGAGGTGGAAACATGAAGAAACCCAGCAGTGAGAACCCCACTGAGTCCCTTGAGCCTTCTGGAAAGTCTGAGGGGAAGTGAAATCAGTCAGCCAAAAGTCTCAGGCAGGGTGCTGTGAATGTTTCCACCCTGGTCTCACCAGGCTTTCCCATTACTACCCCAATCACCCAATGTCCTTGAGACACTGAGGATGGTCCTGCTGGATTCTATCCTCCAGTCCCCCAAGATCCATGTTTCCTTCCCCGTATTGCCTCTATCCTCCTAGTGGGAGATAGCATGAGACACTTTCTCTAGGCTTTATCTGATCTCCTTCTAATCTTTCCCTAACTTTCCCCATTCCTGTCTGGTTTTCTGGCTTGGATAACCAACAACAACAAAAAAAAAAGTTCCTGTAGAGAAGAGAGGCTTCCAGGAGCCCACAGACTCCGGCAGGGACCAATTAGGCTGCCACAGCCAAGCTGTCTCCGACGCTCACCTACCCCCAGCACACAAAGCCTGGGACAGGATTTCCCTAGTAAGGTGTATCCAAGAATGAGGCATCCAGGCAAGAGTCAGGAGTAGCCAGGCCTGGACTCAAATCCAGCTCTGTCACACTCTGGCTTGGTAAGGCACCATGCTCTTGCTCTGAGGCCCTTTGAGGATCACATAAGAAGGTGAGCGAGGCACTTGCTGGAGCCTGGCACACAGTGAGCCTCTGGGGCAGATGCCACTGACAGAAAAATTGCCTCCAGGGGCTGGGACTGCATGGCAGGAGGACAGCACCACCATCTGACTGGAGTACCTGAGATCCTCTGACTGCTTGTGTGGCAGACAACCAGGTGTCCTGAGGATGCCTTGAGGTGAAAGATTCAAGAAATCTTCAAGGTCTCACTCCATTCAAGAGCTGAACTGATGTCACCTGCCACTAGCCCTCAGGAAGGGTTGGACAGGATCTGGGAAAGCTGCAGGTACAGAGTGTACTAGGATTTGAACCCAAGGATACAAACAAGAAATTGCCCAAAGGCAGAGAGCCCTGGGCACCATGGTCCCAGGAAAGGCAAACACTCCGGAAGTCACAGAGCTGAGCCTGCTCTCCAGCTGCAGATGCTGTAAGGGAAAAACCAATACATAACAGGAAGTTCTGAGGATAGTTTTCCACATGCTTCTCTCTAGTAGTCACCCCTCTTCACCCAACCAGCTTTCTGCTCTCAGCCTCTAGTGTCCCCAGATCAGGCCTCCCTCCCTTACCCCACCGTCCTCTCCGTTAGTGAGTGAGTGGCTGACGAAAAGCCCTCCCTTGGCCCAGATGTCTTCACAGTGGTGGTTTATGTGAAGCTTGCATCTTTTTTTTTTTTTTTTTTTTTTTTGGTTTTTCGAGACAGGGTTTCTCTGTGTAGCCCTGGCTGTCCTGGAACTCACTCTGTAGACCAGGCTGGCCTTGAACTGAGAAATCTGCCTGCCTCTGCCTCCCAAGTGCTGGGATCAAAGGCGTGTGCCACCACCGCCCGCATCTTTTTTTTTTTTAAAGAAGGAATGATTTATTTATTTTATGTATACGAGTACATTGCAGCTGTCTTCAGACACACCAGAAGAGGGCATCAGATCCCATTACAGATGGTTGTGAGCCACCATGTGGTTGCTGGGAATTGAACTCAGAACCTCTGGAAGAGCAGTCAATGCTCTTAACCACTGAGCCATCTCTCCAGCCCAAAGCTTGCATCTTAAAAGGCAAGGCTGCAGGCTGCGCCAGCAGCTAGGAGGGTGGAGGCACATCTGCATTGTTGCAAACTCCTTCTTTAACGTCAATTTTTCTGATCCATATGATGGAGGAATGTGTAGGGCATGCCTCACTCCTATATCCTAGCACTCAGGATGCCAAGGCAAGAGTCTCATAAGTTCAAGGCCAGCCTGGACTACATACTGAGACCCTGGATCAAAAGAACAAGGGCTGGAGAGACAGGAGCGATGGTTTAGCAACTAAGAGAATATGATATTCTTGGAAAGACCAACGTTGGTTCTCAGCACCCACATATGGCAACTTACACTCGTGAAACTCCGGCTCCAGGGGATCCAACACCCCCTTCTGATCTCCATGGACACCTACACACATACAGACAGATATACATATAAATTAAATTAAATAAATCTAAAGAAAAGAAAGGGCTGGTGATACAGCTCAACAGTAGGATGCTTGCCTAAAACACTCAAGGCCCTGGGCTCAGTCACCAGCACTACAGTACAATGGAGGGCATGTTCTCTTGCTTGTGGCTACAAGTGTGGGGTTTACATGAGAAGGCCACAGAATGGCTAAAGCAGTTTCAAAGCACACTGGTAGCATGAAGGCATGATAGGCCCTGCCTTAGTCATTAGTCTATTGCTGTGAAGAGACACCATGACCAAGGCAACTCTCATAAAAGAAAGCATTTGATTGGGAGCTGGGTTGTAGTTTCAGAGGCTTAATTCATGATCGTCATGGCAGGGAAATATGGTGGCAGGCATAGTGCTAGAGGAGTTAAGAGCTACATACTCCCCTGATTCACAGGCAGAGAGAATGAACAGGGCCTAGCATGGGCTTTTGAAACCTGAAAGACCACCCCCAGTGACACAGTTCTTCCCACAAAGCCACACCTCCTAATCTTTATCAAAGAGTTCCACTTCCTGGCAACCAGGCATTCAAATGTATGAGCCCTTCTCCTAATAGAGGCCCGAGTGAAGCGATCTTACCTCCACGGTCCTCAAAGGGAGCCTTACCCATGTGGGAGAATTTTGAAGTTTTTACAAGATAAGGAGAAGTTTCCTAGTGCCTCACAGAACAGGTATGTGTTAGAGAAGATGGCACCAGAAAGGGAGACCTCAGTCTCAAAACAGTCCCCAGCTCAGGCAACACACTGCAGGGGACTAGGTTCTTCTTGCTTTCTGGGGGATGCCCACCTTCTCCCTCCCTGTGTTTCTTCAAAGGAGCCAGGTGTTGGTTCTGAGAGCTGTGAATATGAATATTTTGCAATTCTATATTCAGGCCTGCTGCTCATTCATTCACCTAGCATGAAGTTAATTTCAGGCAGGGTGCTGGCTGGGGTCCCCTTCTGGGCACCGGAAGGCGGTGGGGGATGGTAGGGTGGTGGTGTACAAGCAAAGTCCCTGTCTTTCATTTGCTGGCATGAATCTTAGCAGGGTGCCAAATAACTACACAGTGTAGCATCTGGGACTAAGAACAACTAATGGGAACAAGGAACAGGGACTAGGTGAGAGAAGAGCTCAGAAAGCCCCACAGGGGAAGTGACACTTGAGGCCTGGGGTCATTGAGGGATGAGGCCCTCTCAAGGCCAGGAAGAGCTTCCAGAAGGAGGAAGGGAGCAGGATGTGTTAGCCTGAGGTGGGAATTGAGGTTTGGTGTCACACATGCTGAGAAGGGACAGTGGGGGGTGTCTTGGGGTCAGACAGGAATTCTGAGAGAGGAACATGGGACTATGGATTTTATTTGAAGTGGGGTGATGTGGAAATGTTGGGGGTGGGATATGGAACTGTATCCATGGCCTCACATGGGCTTCCCTTTGAACATCCACCACCCTAATCAAGCCACGTTCCTGTCTGTCTGGCTCCAGGGTTTATGAACAGTGAGAATTGGAAATAACAAACTAGGACCAAATCCCATCTGGGAGGTCTCCATCAGAAACCCGTTCTCTGTAGGTGTGTTTCCTCAGAGTGTAGTGACCACGGGTCCACCTAGCCTCCCTCACACATTTGGGGCTTCATGAAGGCTAAACAAAGCACCTTTTACCTCTGCTCTGCCTCTTCCCATGTCTCTCTTCTCTTTCTGGGAGAGACAACCTCTTACCACCACTGGTTACTGGAGGTGGACTCGGAGGAATAGAGTTCTATTACTACTGTGGGTCCTAACAGGGGCATCTAAGCCCTCCAGGATGAGAGGAGACAGGGTGAATCTGAGGAGACAAATCCAGGCTCTGATGAGATGGAGGAAAGAAAGGAAGGTGCATGGGATTCACTGTCATCCTCTACTTCGATTTTGTCTAAACCTGAGCAGGAATCAAAAGAGTCCATCAAGATGTATGAGATTGCCTTTCACCTCTTCAATGTACATATCTAACTGACATCATGAACCCCCAACTTTAAAACCTGTACCTATGGCAGGGTGTGGTGGCACAGCCTTTAACCCCAGCACTTGGGAGACGGACATCTATGAGTTCTTTGCTAATTCCAGGCCAGCAAGTGTGATCCTGTCTCAAACACAAAACAAAAAACACGTGAAAACGTTGGAGGCGGAGCGAGAGAATCCTTTTGGGTAGAAACTGGGTAGGAAAATCAGAGGGTTGGCTTCACCCCTCCCCAAGAGACTCTCACAGTTTGTATCTGAGGCTCCAACCACCCGCCCCTTTCAACAAGCTGCCCAGGGCCTTGCCACTAGGCCTTGCCCCATGGGCGGGGCATTCCAAAGCCCCGCCTTCTGCGCGTGACCTTGCCCCGCCCCCGTCTGTCACTTCCTGATTCCCGCTTCCTGCTTCCCAGAGGCCGGGATCCGGAGCCGCCCGAGATCGCCGCCGCAGTCCCCGGCGCACCTGGGGAGCAGAGAGCGGTGAGCGGTGAGCGGTGAGAGCGGCAGGGACGGACTAGGGGCGCGGACGTGGGCCTGGGGCGGGGGGCGCGAGCCCGAAGAGCGCCGCGCCCCACCCTCATTCCCAACTCCTTCCCCCACCCCAGCCGCCCATCTCTCCCTTTCTGGGCAGGGATCTTTGGAAGTTGGGTTCCTGGTTCACCTTGGACCGTGCTCCGAGGCCACTTTGAGGACCTGGCAGCATCCTAGACCCCTGTTCTGCTAGGGTCCCTAGGCCGGACTTCCTGCAGCTCTTTGCACATTCCCTGGGACTCAGCTGCGGCCTAGTAGGAAGACCAAACAACCTCCTTTGCTGTCTCTTCTCCCCATCACCCAGCCTTCAAACTCTGGGCATGGAAAGCTGCTTGGAACCATCTGGGACCTACAGAAGATCTAAGCTCCGTCCTTTCAGCAACGCGCGCGCGCACACACACACACACACACACACACACACACACACACAAAGTCTAGCCAGGGAGGGGCTTGTGGGAGGACAGTCTGTTGGTCTGCATCTATGAACCCATTCTATAACTGGGAAAATAGAGACTTCCGGCGTTATTATGACCAGTTCCCTGGTGACATGCTCTGTGTGTCTTTTGGGAGGGGAGAGCTGATCCAGATATCTCTGTCCCACAGACATGTCCTTCCGAAAAGTTGTGCGGCAGAGCAAATTCCGGCATGTATTCGGTCAGCCGGTCAAGAATGACCAGTGCTATGAAGACATTCGAGTGTCCCGAGTTACCTGGGACAGTACCTTCTGCGCAGTCAACCCCAAGTTCCTGGCAGTGATTGTGGAAGCCAGTGGCGGGGGTGCCTTTATGGTGCTTCCTCTAAACAAGGTGGGGCTCAGTGGGTCAGGGTGGAGAGGAGAACTGAGGACACACTGGCCACACCTGTAGGCAGGCCACTTCTTGGCCTGTGGCTACTGCTGAATTGTTGGTGCAAGTAGAAAAAGTGTTTATTGCCACCAAGTATGGCTAAGAGGCTGGGTGGAGCAGAGTCACTTCTGGGCCACCAGGAACCAGAGTAGTCACACCATTCTTGCACCTTGGAGGGCCCACAGACACTGGGAGGAATGGAGATCAGGACTTTGGGGTCTTCTCTGATTGCCCTTCATGCCTACAGACAGGCCGTATTGACAAGGCCTACCCAACAGTGTGTGGGCACACAGGACCTGTTCTGGACATCGACTGGTGTCCCCATAACGATGAAGTCATTGCCAGTGGATCAGAGGACTGCACTGTCATGGTGAGCAAAGGATTGTTCAAGTCAGGGTCTCAGGGTGTGGCTGAAGGATGCTGGCAGCAGGGGCAAGCACAGGCCTGAGCCCATCCTCCCTCTCCCTACCACAGGTGTGGCAGATTCCAGAGAATGGGCTGACCTCTCCTCTGACAGAGCCAGTAGTGGTGCTTGAGGGGCATACCAAGCGTGTGGGCATCATCACCTGGCACCCCACAGCCCGAAATGTGCTTCTCAGTGCAGGTTTGCACCATTCCACACCCCTTCCTCTCCCTCTCCCCTTCTCCAGGATGATCCTGGAGTATTCAGCAGCCTCTCACAGGCCAATCTAACAGGAGAAGTGATGCCTACAAAGATGGTGACCCGGTTCAGTACAAGAGGCAGGGACAGAGTGGGCCTACTGGACTGATGCCTGACTTGCCTGAGCTGATGTCATGCCCCCAGGTTGTGACAATGTGGTGCTTATCTGGAATGTGGGCACTGCAGAGGAGCTGTACCGCCTGGACAGCTTGCACCCTGACCTCATCTACAACGTGAGCTGGAACCACAATGGCAGCCTCTTTTGCTCAGCTTGCAAGGACAAGAGCGTCCGAGTCATTGACCCCAGGCGGGGCACCCTGGTGGCAGTAGGTATCCCCAAAGGGCAGAGATAACAATGTTCAGACTCGGGGTCTTGTTCTGCACTGTACTGACCACTTGTCCGTCCTACAGGAACGGGAGAAGGCTCACGAGGGAGCCCGGCCCATGCGGGCCATCTTTCTGGCTGATGGGAAGGTGTTCACCACTGGTTTCAGCCGCATGAGTGAACGGCAACTGGCACTCTGGGACCCAGTGAGTGATGTAGTGAACCTAAGGCGGGCAGGCTTGAGACCTGGGCCTCACACCAGCATATTCCTCCCTGGGCCAGGCAGACAGATTAGCATGGAAGAGACCTCTGTCTGTACTGCTTAGATTCTCAGCCTGACCCTTGAGACTTCCCAGGACCTTGCCAACCCCTCCCTTCCCCGTCTCCAGCTCCCTGGCTCTCCCTAGCACTACCCCAGTGCCTCCCACATCCTTATGTCTGCTTGCACAAACCGTAAAGGTACCTACCCTTCTCCTTAGAGCCTCCAGTCCCTGGGTAGGGAACTCTGTCCCTCTGCAGAGTACACCTGCACAATCAGTTCAAGGGCCCCTGTGAAGCCTGGGCTGGTACCACCTGGGCCCCCACCCTTCCTGTGGCCAGTGTCTTCAACACTTGGCCATTAGTTTGGGAATAGTCTTAAGGCCTGAAGAAGGCTGGGAAAGTGGGACCTAGAAATAGAGAAACCCGTCAGCATGTTGAGACGTGCTGCTGATGGTGTGAGAATGTCTGAGGCCAGTCCAGCAGTGCTTGGAACAAGAAGATGCTGACTTGACCTAATTGTCCCTCATGTGCCTAGGAAAACCTTGAGGAGCCCATGGCCCTGCAGGAGCTGGATTCAAGCAATGGGGCTTTACTGCCCTTCTACGACCCAGACACCAGCGTGGTCTATGTCTGTGGCAAGGTGAGGCTGGGTGGCTGGCAAGCTTGGGCTGAGAAGGACCTGGCCAAGTGCTGAACTTCCTTATTCCCACAGGGTGACTCCAGCATCCGGTACTTTGAGATCACAGATGAGCCCCCCTACATCCACTTCCTGAATACATTTACCAGCAAAGAACCCCAGAGGGGTATGGGTAGCATGCCTAAAAGGGGCTTGGAGGTCAGCAAGTGTGAAATTGCCAGGTATGAGGGTCCTCTGAGGCAGCCATCTGTAGGCAGACTTTATTCAAGGACCCTTCCTGGTGGGTGGTCAGATAGCAGGGGCCAGGTTGCTAGCATCCAAGGCGAAAGTTGAGTTTATGGAGGCTAAACTGGGCATGGTGCCATACACCTGTCATCCCAGCATTTGGGAGGTATGAGGACTGCAAGCGCAGAGGCCAGCCTGGGCCATGTAAGAAGTTCAAGGTCAGTTTGAGCTATCTAGCAAGACCCTATCTCAAACATACACAAAGCAAGGAAGGGAATGGGCATGTAGCTCAGTTGGTGGAGTACCTGCCCAGCATAAAGCCTGTGGTTCCCAAACTGTAACGGGAAAGCTGTAACATGCCTGTAATTCACTCAGGAGGTAGACCTGGGAGGAGCAGAAGTTCAAGGTTATCCTTAGCCTTGCAGTGAGTTTAGTAGGCTCAAGGCCAGCCTGGAATATATGAAACCATGTTTCAAAAAATAAAGGGAGCAGCACGCTCCTTTAACCCCAGCTTCTTGTGGAGGCAGGCTGATCTCCGTGAGTTTGAAACAAGGCTGGTCTACATAGTGAGTTTCAGACTTCCAGGCTACGTGGTGAGACCCTGTCTCAAAAAACAACAACAAAAAAAGAAAGAAAGAGAAGAGAAAGAGGAAGACTCACAGTCATAAAGTTGCCTAGGGTCATGCTCTAGGGACCCTTGAAACAGGGAGACCGTGAGCTCCAACTCCCAAGGCAGCCTGTGTGTGTGGTCTCAGGTCTACCTGTAGGAATATCCAGGAGGGGACACGGGAAGGCTGTAGGAGTTCCACCATGGCTCCCCTCCCTTTTCTAGGTTCTACAAACTGCATGAGCGCAAGTGTGAGCCCATAGTCATGACTGTGCCAAGAAAGGTGAGGCTGCTGGTAACCCTGTCCACCCACTCACTCTCTTCCCTAGCAGAAGGGCCACACTAGGGCAATGGGTGAGGCTGATGAATGGGTGGAGCCCATGGGCTGTACCAATGCCAGGGTGGCCTGAGTTCTAGTGAATTGTTGGAGGAATGGCACAGGATAAGTTGAAGCCCTGCAGTGACAGACCAGGCTCTTAGAGCAAGATCGGGGGGACAGAGGGCCTCCCCTAGGAGGCCAGACTAACTGTGGGGCTGGGATGGTGTCTTATGGGAATAAGGGCTAGAAGAAGGGTATGAAGGACGGGCTCTGGTCATGAAACCCATGGGGAGGAGCCTGGAACACAGTCCCACTGTCTCCAGCTGGTGTTTACAGTTTCCCAACCATGTCCCACAGCAAATCTCATAATCTGTGGGCCATAGATATGGCTCACAGGACCCCACAGAGCCACATAGCTGGCCCTTGTGGTTTGCTGCAGATGGTGCCAGCAAGGGCTGTGCCAGGAAGGACCAGGCATTTGGAGGATGGGTTGGCAAGAGTACAAGTCGGGAGGATGTGGACACAGCCACTCAGAGACCAGATGTGAGACCCCGATAGGGACCTCCAACTGATTCTGACTTCCCCTACCTGGTGCGCAGTCTGACCTCTTCCAGGATGATCTGTACCCTGACACAGCAGGACCTGAGGCTGCTCTTGAGGCAGAGGATTGGGTGAGCGGTCAGGATGCTGATCCAATCCTCATCTCACTACGGGAAGCTTATGTGCCCAGTAAACAACGGGACCTGAAGGTCAGCCGGCGCAATGTACTGTCGGACAGCAGGCCTGCCAGTTACAGCCGCTCCGGAGCCTCCACAGCTACTGCAGTGACTGATGTTCCCAGTGGCAACCTTGCTGGGGCTGGTGTATGTGCCCTACGTTTGGGAGTGCTGTCCCATTGGCTGGACCTCAGACCTCTTCCCTAGGGGTGGGTTATGGCTGATGGCCTCTGACTTCCACATGTCTTTGTAGGAAGCTGGGAAGCTGGAAGAGGTGATGCAGGAGCTTCGGGCACTTCGAGTACTGGTCAAGGAACAGGGGGAGCGTATCAGCGCCCTGGAGGAGCAGCTGGGCCGCATGGAGAATGGTGATACATAGGACCACCAGGGACCTGCTCCCAACACTGCCTCCTCCTCCAACCCTCCCCACCTAGCTTCTGTGGCCAGGTCACACCAGGCAGTTTGCTGCTCAGTGCCTCTGTGGCAGGTCATGGCCAGTTTGCACCTCTCTACGGCCTGGGGCCCAGGTTGGAAGCACCACCAGGCTTTTGGAAGATTTTTGTACCAAGGCAAATTCCCAAGTACTTTAAGGGACCATCTCCATGACCTGCCCAACCCACTGCCCCCTCACCAGAAAAAGCAGCAGAGATGGGCTCTATATTTTCATTCCAAATAAAATGCTCTTTCTAAAGCCAGGTTTGACCTACTGTTGTGGAGGGTTAGGGATGGATGCTCGGAAGGGAAACTGCAAACCTATGTGCAAAGTAGGCCCTGCCTACCAGAATTCCATCATACAGAGAAACTGAGGCAAAGGGGCTAGAAAAGGGTGTGGGAGATGGGTTAGTGGGTAAATTCACTTGCTAAGCAAGCCTGATGACTGAATTCAATCCCTGGAACCCACAGTGGCGAGAAGCATCTAACCTCCACATGTCCCCACATAGGAAGGCATATGCTTAGTTTTGTTGTTTTGGTTTTTTGTTTTAAGACTAACCAGATACCCACTTTTAGTCCCAGCACCCAAGAAGCAGAAATAGAAGGATCTCTGAGTTCCAGGCCCGCCAAAGCTACATAGTATATAGGTGGATTTCCTGCTTTGGGTTGAGTTCTGGTCACAGATCCCGTGGTCCCCACCTCACCTAGGGAGGAATGGGAAGATCTGGTATGGGTCTGGGTAACCCTGAGAGGCTGAGACCCCATCAGGGTCCTGTGATAGGCAAGAGTGGGTGGGGCATTTGGGGCAGGAAACGGAAGTGTCAGTAACTCCTAGCTACTGTACTGAGAGCTCCGAGGCTCACTTCTCACTAAACAGCCAGAGTCAGAAGTGGGTGCCTGTGAAAAGGCCATCGGATCAATGGTGAGCTGTGGAACCCTCTGGGTTCTTGGGGCGCAGTGGGGTGGGGATGGAATATCAAGGGTCCAGGAGTTAAGGGTCTCCTTCCATAGCCTTGGGCAGCAAGACCCAGGCCTAGAATGAGTTGGAACTTAGTTCTTACCTCAGATCTGGGCTCTCTGGAATTAAAGGTATGTCCTCCAGCTCCTCATGCTAGGCACAGCCTTATTCCAAGACCCTTGGAATAGTCTCCCATCTGATCCCCTCATGAGCTGAGTTTGGGTGTAACTCCTTTCCCAGAGCTTGGTGTACTATAGGGGAGTCTTGTGCCCAGCACCCCTCCCCCTGCTACCACACAACCCCACCTGCTTTGTTCCAACCGCAGGCTTCCTCTGATAGCTACACATGCTGCCCCCATGCCGGGTGGCCCTGCACGCCTGAGGCCCTTCAGGGTAGAGTGGGGAACCGAACGGAAACCCTGCAGCTGGGGCAGCCTCATGGTTGAGAGGAGGGGCTTCAAAGACCCCTCATTCTAGGACCAGTCCCAACCTCTGAGTTGATCTAGATATCTCCTTCATGGCCTCCAGAGAGCTACCTGGCACTGGCCTCTCAGGCCCCTTCAACTCCCTCTACTGCAGGACAGGCCGCTTTAACACCAGCTAATACCCACTGAGCATCTGTGTGGCATGCAGGGTTTAGGTGCTCCCCCCACCCCAATCCAGGCGCTTATTCTGGTGGGAAAGGCAAGGCAACAGAATAAATCAACAGATCATATTCTCCAGTGTGGGATTTGGTGGGAAAAGTGTAACCAGGGGACCTGAGGTTGGTGAACGGATGGGCTGAGGTCCAACGAGTTAGCTGTAGAGTTATGCAGGTGTGGGAGGGGGTGACCAGGAGAGGGACAGTGATCTGAATGTAAAGTAAGTAAAAAAAAAAAAAAAAAGTCTGGCAGGGCCTCATCAGCCAGGCCTACCTAGCCCATGGCAAACATGTAGCCATGAGGCTTTGAAAGTGTCAAAGCAGTAGGAAGTGTCTAAGCAGAGGGAAAGCCAGTGCACAGGCCTCAGACAGCTGCAGGCCTTGGGCAGACACAGGCCTCAGGCAGTGAGAAGTGAATTACAGAGCTGAGTTTAAGGTACGCACACCAGAGCAAGGACCTGACCAAATATGGGCTGGGGATTTTCTGCTTGACTGTACCTATTTTGCTTGAGGCAGCTGAGGTCTTTGTTAGAATTCAGTTGGCCTCATCAGGTGACAAGTCCTCCCTACTGTCTCCCACAGGCTCTGCCTGGTACCCTCAGACTTGGGGTGCTGCTGGCCCTGCCAGGGGCGCTGGCCTCGGGGGCAGGCCCAGAGGATGGTGCAGGCTCCAGTATGGTCACCATCATCCTGCTGCTCTTGCTCCTACTGCTGCTGGTCACTGGCCTAGCCTTGGCTTGGCGTCGCCTCAGCCGTGCCTCAGGAGGATACTACCACCCAGCCCGCCTGGGTGCTGCATTGTGGGGCCACACCTGCCGCCTGCTCTGGGCCAGCCCTGCAGGGCGCTGGCTTCGAGCCCACACTGAGCTGGGACCCCCAGAAGAACGAGAGCCGCAGGAAGATGAACAGGATGCAGAAGATTTCATGATGGATGGTGGCCCTGAGGAAGCTGATGCCAAGGAAGAGGAGCAGCAGTGTCAAGCAGAGCAGATCCCAGATGCACATGACACAGACAGCGAGGGGGGCCTGGACCTGAGCTCTCAGGGCCCTGTGGGCTCAGGCAGCAGTGCTGAGGCCCTTCTGAATGACCTGCATGCCTTTTCAGGCAGTGCTGCCTGGGATGACAGTGCTGGAAGAGCAGGGGGCCAGGGCCTCCGTGTCACTGCACTGTAGGAGTCAGCTTGTTGTCTAGTTCCTGCCCCAGCCTCTGACTCTCTTCCCATGTTGTCATGGTGAAACACAAACTGCCCTGGGCCTTTGTCACCCCACCCTCACATGAGCTTCTTAGACTGACACCCCCACCAGTTCCCCAGAATGTGTGCACCCATCCCAGACAGGCACTGGGCAGACATTGAAAATAAAACTTGGTGAGCACTGAGGTCCGTGGTCCTTTAGGATCCTCCCGTGTCTGGAGTCCAGCAAAAGCCACTCTGCCATGATTCAGTCCTTTACTTCTACAAGGGCACAGGTCCAAAGACAGGCCAAGTCCCTTCTGATGGGATGGGGGTTGGGAACCACCACCAGTGGCTATAGCCTGCAGCCCTCTGTGTACATGATTGTAAGGCTCACCTTACACACACACACACACATACACACACACACACACCCTCATCTCCTGGACATCCACAGGTCGGAGCCAGCTGGGCGCTCACAGCTGCCCACTCTCTTCCTCTAGTCCCCTAGCGCCTTGGGCGGCCCCGTCCCTTCTTAGACTTCTTGGTTCCTGAGGGGGGACGAATGGGAAGGGGGGCAGTGCTTGTGGGTGGTGGTGATGATGGTGGTGGCAGGAGTGGAGGTAGAGATGGCTCCATGGGCTCTGGTGGGCCAGGACTGGGCCGGAACCCCTCAAAGGGAGAGAACTTGAGGGGGCTGCAAGAGAAACCAAGGCCGAGTCAGAGCCTCCTAGGCCTAGTCAGGAATACTGGCAGCAGGGGACGGAGGTTAGGCACAGGAGTTGTAGGTCCACAAACTACCACTTTAGCAGCCTCTGTTACAGATGTACAGGGACTGAGGTCCCACAGTGAGCAGGAGCCTGAGGCTAGCCTTTAACAAAAGAAAAGCTTGGCCAGAGTAGCCCACAGGAACTGGTCTATGTCAGGGAACCCTGCCCCAGCCACATGTCTGCCCTGAACCTAGGTACCTGATGGGGGTGCGGGGACTGCTGTTAAGACGTCTGGGGGAGCGCAGCTTGGGCTGGAAGGAGAAGCCCTCTTTGATGCTGTCCAGGACAGAAGGTGCCACATATGTGAAGCCCTGTGGAGAGAGGCCAGGCCAGGTGATGCTGGCATCTCCAATTCCTAGCTACAATCCTTGTTCTGGTCCCCATAACCCCCAGGACCTCACCAGGAAGGCTTGGTTGGCACTCTCACTGAGGGCTGTGTCATCTGGACTGTCTACTGGTGTCTGCCGTGTGAATCGTGCGTCAAACTGGCTCACGTCCTCTTCTGATTGCTGTGGGAAGATCCAAGTGGGGAGTTAAAGGAATCCAAAGTGTAGGGCCTCTACGTGCCACGTGGCCAAAAAGACCCCATATACTCACCAGACTTGGCCTGAAGGGAGGGTCTACACGGCGGGCCAAGAGGTCATCCCAATTGATGTGCCTGAAGAAGGGGTGCCTCTGAGGGCAGAGGGTGCCCAGGAATATGTCAATTATTCACCTTGCCTAGCTCCCTGCTATAATCCACTTCATCCTCTGGCCCCAATTCCTTGAGACAAAACTAGATTCACCTGGACATCAGCAGCATCTCCTGGGCCACCCCCAATCCGTTGAATGGGATTCCGCTTCAGAAACTGTACAGGGAAAAGGTAAGGGTGGAGAGAAGCTGAGGTGTCTGCACAGCCCCGAATGGGGAGAAGGCAAGCAGAAAGAGGATATAAGATCTATACCATGGCCTCTGACCACTGAACCCCTCAATACTTTCAGAGTTGGGGCAACAGTGCCTTCTTCATGAAGCCTTGATGGTATGTATTCCCCTTCCCTTTCTGATGGAACAGGGCTAACGTTACCACAAGAACACCCTGCTGATAAAGACACAGATCCAGTACTGCTCAGGGGCAGTGGGCAGGCTCTCAGAGCCCAGGCCAACACTTGGGGCTCTGAATCCCAAAGCCAATGTTTCTGCCATCCCCAGAGACAAACTGGACAGGCAGGCAGGGTTGGGGAGTGGCCTTCCCCAGAGCCTAGGGATAGTCAATCATATGTGCAGAGTTTCTGACAGGGCTTAGGGAAGAGATGGAAACATACCCCTGGATGGAAAGAGGCCCACCTTTTTGGCAAGGTCTCGGGCATCCGGGGTGAGGTAGGGGGGCAGCACCAGCTTCCCTTTAATGATTTTATCCATAGTTTTCTT